CAACAGAATTTCAAATAGCACTACATATTAAATTAATTTTAACTTAAGTTTTGTTATTTAGTTGAAAATTTAAGTTAAAATTAATTTTATAATTAAAAATGTAACAATTATTTTATAATTAAAAAGTTAATATTTCTAACTAAAAACTTATGAAATAAATTTAAAGATTTTCTTAAATTGGCTTGAGGGGCTCTCCCACAATCCCCCACTCCTTCGAAGTGGTTCTCACCAGTTTCTGGAAGAGGAATCTGAGATGCTATTCTATATCTTGGGCCCGAAGTCCGTGACGCTACCGACTGAGCCACCGACTCACCAAACAATCAACACATGATGTTGACTAGCTAACAAGAGTTTACTAAAACCACTTTATTACCTTCCTTGTCGCAACAAACCTAAGTCAGTACATATTAAAACTAATTTTAATTGATTTTAAGTGAAAATTCAACCAAATCTTAATTTACTTAGCTTTATTTGGTTTGCTGTGGTAGCGGTTCTATTTTAAATTAGCTAATTGAATTTAAACCGAAGAATATGTTTTCATATCTAGGTTTAAATTCTTCAGATTAGTTATTTAAATGGTTACGAAACCTTTAAGCTATTTTTGAAGTTGGTAGGATGAAGAGGTTATGATTCTGCACAACACTATGGTATCCCACAAACTGTTGTTAAGTTAATCCTAGCAGTCGTTTGTTGTAGCTGTTGGTGGATTCCAGAAAAGCTTTCCAGCTGAAGTAATCCCAGTCACCATTCAAGCGGAAGAATACCTGGCTTTAAATCTGAAAACAATGCCTTATTCCCGTGTTCCACGCACTGTTAAATTCTAACGGCTAAATCGAGTGAAAACTTATTTCAGATTTGGTTTACCAGGAACCGATTTGTAATAACTGTTGGAATTAGTTACAATATTGCCAAAAGACTTCTTATTTACAATGTCATTGTTAAACTGTTTGTAGCAACGTTTTATATGGTCCCTATTTATATAGCTGTGGTCATATTTCCACTAGCATTTATTGATAACAGTGTGAGGCTAGGTTTTATATTCTTCATTTCATAAGTGGCTGTGATGTATTTAACAAACATATTTTTAAAATGCAAATTTTTAAACATTTTTTACGTGTATTAAAATTTTAAATTGTGGTTTCACTCATCGGGACTTTATATTGAAGACTTTTAAGTTGCCTCAAATACATACCGATCATGGAAACCAATTCCCTCCACAAGTATTGGTACAAGTATTGGTTGGTGTAAATACCAGAATTTATGCGATCAATATCAGGTCATCGTCAGGCCAGTACAGATGTCTTCTCGCTTCATTCGAAGGTCGTCCTTATGAATTGATGACCTTCGAAAAAGTGTATAGACATCTGCACTGGCCCGACGATGACTCTTTTGAAAGTCGAAACCGTTTGCAATTTAGCAACACATTGATTGCATAATTGCAGGTATTTAAACCAATTCTGTAGAATTCAAAGTTGTTTTAAAAAGTAATAATTTAAGTAATTTAATAAATTAGCCGAGGTATACATACTTTCATCTAACCGTCGTTTCTGACCTAAATAACTGGATATATGTTGTTGTAGCTTCAAAACAAATGAATTCCTGTTTATATAAGTTTTCGAACACATATTTTACTGGTTTGCTTCTTAATTATCTTCAATTAATACAGTATATAAAAACACAGGGTTGTTATATAGTTATGGCCCAGTAATTGCTCTAAAATTCAGTAATATCATAGACTAACCAACACAAGTAGACTTCTTATCCCATTCTAAATTATGAATCTTTTAGAGTCAATTTCATCATTTATGCTTTACTGTTTGGTTATGTACCAACTAGGCTATGAGTAATTAATTGTTTGTGATTAGATCGTTTCATTAGGTTAAATGCGGTTTTAAATTACTGAAATAACAGGAAACAAATAAACAAAAGTACAAGTAGACAAACACGACCCCTATAGAGTAACGGACGGAACTAACAATAAAATAATTGTCTTCAGCTGATATGATATGATTAGAAATCTACTAAGGGAGTATGCTTTGTTTATGGTATTATGTAGTGATATTTTGATGAGATCTCCTATACAACAATTTGAAACAACCCAAAAGTATGTCAATAAGGCACAAATTAATGTATCAACAAGCCTTTAAGGTTTTGATTATTCGTTGAAAATGTGTAAAAAGCTGTAAATAAAGCAAAGACAATAAGATAAACAGCGGTTGACGGTTTTTAGAAAAATTCCTTACAAATGTTATACAACTTAAATATACCAAAATATAATTAACTATGTTACCTCTTTATTAAATTATTTTATTACATACCTGTATACATCAATGTTTGTGTAGGATGTGTAGAATGTATGAGTGATTCTATTGTAAGTATATTTTAACGAGAGGGCTTTTAATACATAAAGAGAATATTTATAATAGAATATAACAATATATCACAAATCCTACATGAAAGATAAACCGTTTACCAAGAACAGCCTTAGTTGCAGACCACGTGGATTAAATGGAAACCATTTTACCTAGATTAAAGCCGCTTGAATTATATAGCAGGCCTTTAACGCTCAGATTGTAAACTTTAATGGAATATTTAATTACAACTAACTCATTTCTTATTTAGCAAATGGACAACGTGTATAAAGAAAAAAACTGAGTGAGATTATTATTATTACTTTAGGATAAAATATTGCAAATGATCATCTTCGAGTTTACCAAATTTAAATAAAAGTAAGAAGAAGTTATATAATGAAATATTTGCTAATCCCGATGGGTCTACAATTTTTGGCAAGGTTTTGACAAGAATGAAATAAATATACTTGAAATTATACAAAAAATATGGCTAAGCTATCCCTTATAAAATTATGTAAGAAATATTATAGGTGTTGAATTATTAATATTATTTTTTTTCGATTGAAATTTAATTAGGTAGTAACCATTTTACTTTACTAATGTCACAATAAAGCCAATGTTTATATCTAACAGTAATTTCAGATGACTACTAACTGTTTATTAATGGTTTGGAATTAGCCATGGATAGCACGTAATTCCCAAGGTGAAACATTTCTGATATCATAATTTCTCAGCAAAATCACATCGTAATATTTTGGTTAATCTACGATCTCAATTCCTATTGAACTCTTGTGTCATAAACTATAGTGTATACATTTTAGAAAATATCTAAAATATTCGTATAGGATACAGCTAACCTTTTGCTTAGAAGGGAGTTTATCTTAAATGTAATCCCGTTGTAGTACAAACTTATAATTTCCTATTACATGCAGTACAGATGCCAATTGCTTATTATTTGAACTAAATGTAAATTCTCTATTTACAAATAATTTTATACAATCATTTGATTATATAATATTGTCATTGGAAGGAAAAAAAGATTAAGTAAATGCAGTTCAAAGACCAACAGCATTGTTTTCCCCCAGAGGTTTATAAAGTTGTACATTGGGTTTGGTAACATGAGTTAACATAGTTATATGCCCAGAAAACTTACAATCCATCCTCCAAATTATTGCATTATTTTAAAATGAATTAGTAACAACCTGGATTGATTACATATAATTTACTAAATAAGATTTCAAATGTTTCACTTTTTGCACGAGGCTTATTAGAATTGTTCATTATACCTAACAAAAATTTAAAAAACCATGATATTTTAACAGTATGTGTTTTCTTGTGATCTTTCTTTTAATTGTTAATTTCTAACTTATTAATAAGTGTTAATGGCGAGGCGTCATCTCCACGAAGTATCCCTCCACGCTGGTCAAAACAACGGTTAGTTTCACTCGCAACTTGTGTACATCCACTACAGGCGTTAATTTGTATTTTCTCAGAATTTGTACTACCAAGACCTTGATGAAAAGCGATGCGTACTGCTTGCCTGCAACAAGGTTATAACATGGGGGTTGTAAAATATATTTTCCACAAGTTATTAAGCAAAGGGAAGTAATGCGTTGCGTTTTTCAAATGACCACACTCTTACATTTCACTTGACATGGAATATGCTGATAATGTATATTCTTTTTCTAGCAAATAAATATTTTACCTTGCTAACTTCTGACATAGTTGGTGGCATTTGCTTGGGACTTAGTTAAATAATAGATATATTACATCTCCCAATAAACAACTTTTTTAACAGAACATTTTTTTTATTTCCTTAGCTTATCAAGGTCATGCACAGTTAATCCTTAGCCTATTGCCTAGCTTGTCCTTTACCTATGCAGTCCCTTGGTCCTCCACTGAATGCTACGTTGACATGTTTGCCTCTTGATGCGACGTTTTCTGGCGAGTAACGATCAGGATCGAACCGTTCGGGGTTAGGGAACATCTTGGGATTCATGTGTACTCCGTAGAGTGACAAAAAAATGCTTTGATTGGCTGGAACAGTGCAATCACCTGGAAAACATAGAACATTTTTTTAACTTCATGGTTTGGTTGGTAGTAAAGTAGTACATCTTGTGAATAACTATATTTTTAAAAACATTTGGCAGCCTCTTTTAGTACCTTGCATTTGCTCATCGAAAATGGTCACAGAGGCCTGCGCATGAAACGTATCCAGAAAAGAAAGGGATGAGCCAGTACAGTACAAGGTGGAAGTAAAGTACAGTAAAGTACAAGGTAAACTGTGAAAAAGTAGTGACGGATCCAAACCCATAAATCTTGGGCCCAAAGTCCGTGGCACTACTAATTAATCCACACACTCACGAAAATAGAGGTAAACGAAGAAAGAAGAAGAAAAAGTATTGAGTAAAGTAAGTCCATAATCTAATGCGAATTTGCCTATACATATATAAGTAAGGTTTACTTGTATTTATATTTTTGCGTACGTTTTGTTTCTGAAGTTTGGGACATATGAATTGTCTGAGTTCAACAGATTCCAGAAAAACAAATGTTCTATAAAAATAAAATGTTTAGTCGTAACCTAAAAAGTAACATAAATTGTATTACCAATGAAAAATTGTTAAAATACTACAAATGTCTACAATGCATTTCAAAAGCATCGACGAATAACTTGTAACTTTTTACTAAGTCAGTAGTTAGAAAGATAATTTTAACTGCCACAACATACTCAGTTTGATTTCTTCAGTTGTTTTCCTTATGATTAATGGGACAATGGAGAATCTACGAAGGCTCTCCTGGAAGCATTGGTCAAGGTAGATCATCTGGTGGATATGATCTGTGGTGACGTCATCATCAGGTCCAACAACTGAGGTGATCTCTTCATATAGCTTGTCCTTTGACAAGTACATATCATATAATTTTGTTATTAGTGCCTTTGATTGTTGTAAAATAGTTATTTGTATAAATAGTGTGCGAAGTGGCACTTTGCTGCACATGAAAAATAAATGTTTATGCACAAGCCGCAGGCGAGTTTGGAAAGTTTCTAATGTGTAGCAAAGGCACTTTGCGCTCGTGTTACAAATTATGTTTTTCATACAGTAACTATAAAGCATAGAATTAATTTGTCTTTCAAACACATAACAACATGTTTTAGGTTAGGTTAAATCCAGTAGGATCGTAATCGTAGAATTGAGTGTTGCCAACTTATTTCACAAGCGTACACGTATTATGTGTCTAATAACAGCACACTTTTTAGTGTTGTTTGATTGGAATACTGGAGTGTGGGATAAAATGAGTGCGGCAACCTTCTCAGGTAACTGTAGGAGAACTGTTTTGATGTACTAGTTTATAAGTTATTTGTACCTGGTATTCAGGGTATTGTGCCATGGCCATGAGAAAATAGGATGCTTGGTTGACTACCGTATCAGTACCCTAGAAAATCATATTACATTAGAAGATTATATTTAAAATTGTATTTTAGCTTAGAATATTTTAAAAACGGTACCCTTAAACGGTTTATATCTATACTTATGTAATACGCAAGCAGGTGTCTTGTGGCAATTACTCCTCCGAAACTATTAAACCGATCGACAAGTTTTTGGTGTCATTGGAAAGAGCGTAACGTGAAGTTGTGCAGGAAATTTCTTTTAGGGAAATAGTTAGAGAATGAGGCCCTGGGGCCCTTTAAAGTTTCGTATTTATCCATAAGATTAACATGGGAAACAAACATTGTTATGAAACTCCAGCTGTTGTCAGAAATTGATATATATTCAATCTAGTGTCAATTAATAATACGGAAAGTAATAAGTAATATTAATAATTAGTTATTTGTGTAACTAGTGGTGAAAGTGGCACTTTGCTGCACACGAGAGCAATGTTTACGCACGAGCCGCAGGCGAGTGTGGAATGATCTCGAGTGCAGCAAAGGCCTTTTTCCCTTGTGTTACACATCATATTTTTCCTACAGTCACTATATAGTTATTTGTGTAACTAGTGGTGAAAGTGGCACTTTGCTGCACACGAGAGCAATGTTTACGCACGAGCCGCAGGCGAGTGCGGAATGATCTCGAGTGCAGCAAAGGCCTTTTTCACTCGTGTTACACATTATATTTTTCCTACAGTCACTATAAATCAAATAAACAATTAGTCTTTCAAACACTATACAACACGTTTTTAGATTCAGCTGGCAACACAAACGGTGCCCTTAGAGAAAGTAGTACCCGCGGTCCGTATCACTCCACTATTTTCCTCGGCAAGAAATGTGCTCCGCGTTTTGAGAATATAGTTCCGTATGTTTTTGTAATTTAAAGTGGTTTCCGCGCCTAAAAAATGCTTTAAATGTATTTTTTGTTTATTAAGATCGTAGGAATGTTTTAAAAACATTTAAAATAAAAGTCCAGGAAGTTCAGAAATACCGAAACTATAAACACGAAATGACAGGTTAAATCGTAGTTATAACAGTCAATCAGCTGCTCATAGTATAATTATCTTTAAGTGTTGCCAACCTATTTCCGAGCGTACACGGATTACGTGCATAATAGAACCACGCTGTTTTGTGTTGTTTCGTTGGAATCCTGATGTGCGGCGAAGTATAAACCGTACGGCAAAGTATAAACCGTACGGCAAAGTATAAATATGCAGCAATTAGCAGCTTTCTGTACTATAAACAGTACAAGGAAGCCAACTTTGTCGGGTGACTGTAGGAAAAAGCATATAAATAATTAGTCTTTCAAACACTATACAACACGTTTTTAGGTTCAGCTGGCAACACAAATGGTGCCCTAGAGAAAGTAGTACCCGTGGTCCGTATCACTCCGCTATTTTTCCTCGGCAAGAAATGTGCTCCGCGTTTAGAGAATATAGTTCCGTATGTTTTTGTAATTTGAAGTTTGGTTTCCGCGCCTAAAAAAATGCTTTAAAGGTATTTTCTTGTTCATTAAGATCGTAGGAATGTTTTAAAAACGTTTAAAAGAAAAGTCCAGAAAGTTCAGAAATACCGAAACTATAAACACGAAATGACAGGTTAAATCGTAGTCACGATTACTAGAAAAAAACCCGGTATGGATCATAAACATAAACAAAGTGACGTTGTTGGCCCGAATCCTATACTAATAGCATTGAACATATGTTTTAGCAGTTCCATTTAAAAAATTTTAAATCATGTTTATTTTCGGGCCAAAAACGTCATTTGTTGATGTTTATGATCCATACCGGGTTTTTTCTAGTAATCGTGATCGTAGTTATAATAGTCAATCAGCTGCTCATAGTATTAATATCTTTAAGTGTTGCCAACCTATTTCCAAGCGTACACGGATTACGTGCATATAGTCCAGGAGCTGAGGGGGGTTGAGCATGCATGAAAGTAGTACGCAATGTTATTGCTGATTATTGTAATATGGACTGTGGTGATCAAAATTACGTATGTCGCCTATTTCAAAAGTGGTCGATAAGGTGGGGGGGAGGGGGCAAACATGGCGGTTTGCGCTATGCGTTAAAACGCTGATAGTTCGAAAACGGTAGAAGATAGAACATCTGTTAGAACGTCGTTGTAATCCTAACAATATGGACAACAATAATGGTCATTGGGTCCGAGGTCGTATCTCTATAAATAAACAAGTTATTGTATAAAATATGTAAAAATGGACTTTTCGTGTAGATTTTTTACCGAAAGTAGAATTAATTTGTGAATGTCGCAAAGAAGTAATATCAAATATCTTTGCTGATAGTTGTAATATGGACTGTGGTGATACAAAATACGCATGTCGCCTACTTTTCAGGTGGTCGAGAACTTGGGGGGAGGGGGGCAAAGATGGCGGAACGCGCTATACATCGAAATGACTGTAGCTCGAGAACGGTACGAGATAGGACATCGGTTAAAACGTAGTTTTAATCCAAACAATATTACCAATAGAAAAGGTCATTGGGTAAAAAGTCGTATCTTAACTAATAAAAAAGTTATAACAATAATAAGTTTAACAAAATCTACATCGTACAGCTATTTTTTTCGAAAATCGTATGGATTTTTGATAAATTTGTGAGAATATTTTATAATTACGTTTTTCTTTTGTTTAGGTGCAGTTGTAAAACATTATGGCTTTGGTAAGGGACCGCTGGAGAGTGTTCGTCGAGGCCCTATGCTCCCCCTAGGAGCGCAAGGAAATAAGTCAAGTAAGACAAATTTGTTATACTACAAAATACCACAAATTTAAAGAACCAAATTTTCTCAAACCGTGTCATCCCCATCGCAAACGCAGAGCACGAGTATAACTGCAATAAGCATTTTATGCTATACGCCATCCCCGTACGAAGGACGGGTACCCTGCTTGTATAACAATAAATGAACGGAGCTTTTAGCACACCCACAGGCACAGTGAAACGAATCTAGAATTTTTTAATACATTTATGTTGATAGAGTTGAGTGTGACAAGAAAAAAAAACTGTTTTTAAAAACGTTTATATAATGTAAAAATGAATTAAATTAAAATAATGAAAATGAAAGGTTTGAGATGGGTTAGCTGTCATGCTAATATTTGTCTTTCCCGACAGTCCAAGAGTGTGGAAGCCTAACTAACTAACTTGCTCCCATGTTTAGGAAGTTTAGTCTGACATGGCTACTACATCCTATATATTAAAACGAAACAGGGTTTTTTTTATTTCACGATTCTGAATCAACCACTTGACGGATTTTTATGATTTTTGTGTTGAAAGAAAGATAATTTTGAAAACTAGGGAATGTCGAAGCCGAAATTTTAGTTTAGGGTGTCAGTTTTTTAGAAATTAAGTTTTAATTTTCAAAAAGTCTAGCAGCCGACGGACGAGTTAAAGTCGTTTTAGTGGTGGTTTAACTAACAGCTGGTTTCTAACTGTCATTGAAATGTTTATGTTACAAGTTGTTTGTATACTAAAATATTGATCGTCAGAGTTTGCCTACACACTATCTATATATTAATAGGCAAGCATGTTTCTTTAAAACCTTTTTTCTCAGCTTGTGTGCATCGTGGGGTAAATCTGCGCATACCTTTAGAAAGCAATTTTACTGTAGGTGTGCAGAATCTCTTTATAAATTTAAATAGGCTCAAAGATAAGCACAAAAAATGAGTTTAAACATTTGAAAAAATTAACATGGATCTTATGCGTTGCCATGCTGGTGACGAAATAACAACGAAATATAAACAGAAAATCAAAACAAATGGAAGAAACTCCAATCACATGTTTTATTTACAGTGTGGGGTGAAAATAGAGAAGTGAGTACATTACATATTTTTGGTCGAGTTTCGACCACTGGACGACCTCTCGTTTTACTTTAAAATGCAGTTTATTTTCTACCGTAAAAGATCTATGTTATTAGGAGATTGTGTAATTTTGAGCTTAAAATTTTAAACGTATAATCAAGTTTTGTCATTATACAATCCGACTAAGTGTAAGTGCTTAATACTTTAAGGTATAAGTGGTTTACGTGTTAAAACATCTTTTTCTAGATGTTTGAATATAAGAATGGCTGCATATAGTACACATTTTATTCTATTGAAAATGTCAACCGGTGTAGTAGGTCTCCAGAAAACTGACCAGTAAGCTGCAGGGTGCCAGTAGAAACCAAAATCGATTCATACCATATCATAACTATCCCAGTAGTAGTGTATGATTCAGAAACTTGATAAAGGGGTACATTCCAAAAGTAGACCAAAAGGCTCGGATCTCGGATGGGCTGGGCAGGATTTGCATGGCGGAGAGAAGATACTTCAACTTTTAAAAGTGTATTCCAAGGAGTACTACAAGGTAGACGACCACTTGGAAGACCAAGTAAGTAATGGAAGAGATCTTCAGACTGGAATCTTACTGTCTTCCTGTCATACAGAAATAGCAGGGGATAGAAGAGAACGGGAGGCCAGGATCATTTTAGAGGTTTCAGTGGCCAAGGTGGTAAAATAAGGTACGGTAAGTGATAGTAGGCCTTAGTTATGCAGTGGAAGGTAGTATGTAGCTACTGTACTCAAAACCAGTGTGTGTGAATCGGACACCAAGTTGTAAACTAGCTGTTCTGAATCATATTCAGTTTTAACTGACTACTCGATTCCCGTACGTAGGACGGGCCAACAGCTCGTATACATTTAATTATAATTGAAATACATAATATATCAGGAGCTTTACCACTGATTATCATGTATGCTGCATCATTAATATATTCCATCATGTTGACTTTTGTCGGTCCATTGCCCACCTCAGTGGACAGTCTATTGATGACATAGCGAGAATGTTTGTTGTAAACTGGCATCATCAGGTTCAAGTTGTGAGGCCTAAACATTGTATTGATCACTTTTCGAGTTGGTTTCCAAACTGGGCCTGAAATGGAAAATATCACCAGGTTATTTCATTAAATAAGGTTTTTTTATGCTACTCATCATTTTACATATTGATGTGGTTGCTGAAAAGATAACATAATATCAAATAGATTAGTGCTTCGTAAGAAATGTGGCAGGTTTAGGAAATCATTGGTTCATATTGCATCCTCACTAGACAATCTATCATACTATTATTACAAGTGAGAAAGTTTGGATTTATGTATGGATGTTTGTGACAAGTAAACCCCCATGGTAACCTAAAAAGTCCCATGTTAACCTTATGAGTATTACAATTGAAAAGGAATTAAAGAATTTTGTCAGCTGTTTCAACTGCACAAGTTGGTTCTATGATATTAAATAGCATTAAAAAGTTATAAGGTTTACCAACAGGGTGCAGCACTGTTATTTTTTCCATTTATTTTTTATTAAAATGACAACAGCTAATTTTAACCAAATAGCGACCAAAAGCTTTGGTTCACAATGAGAACTTTACTTTTTCTATGGTGCAGTGGTAGAACATTATGGCTATGGTAGATGTGCTATATATAGCATACTGTATAAATTAATAAAAACCATATTTTCTTAAACCGTGTCCTCTTCCATTACTGCAATTAATTAGCATTTTATATTTATCTTCAAACCCCGTACAAAGGGCTAGTATACAATATAGGCAAACACGAAATTTGCCGTTAGAACTTATCCCTAGTTTTTCAACAACTTTTGTTAGTTTATGGCTCAATTTAATTATCTCATTGAGCAGATGTCAGTTATGCCTAGAGCAAAAGTCCCTTGGAGATCTGCTCCAGTGTCTTTTAAAGTTCCAATGTTATCCTTATGAAGAACAGATTTGTTTTTATTATGATCCGCCGGATAATTTTACACAAACATTTATTGAAACAGCTGTTAACAATTAAGTTATAATACAAGAAAACACATGTTATAAACATTTACTGACTTATATTAGAATAAAATATTGAGATTATTCTTATGCTTTTAATAGTACTAGTATACCTGGTGCTCGATTTCAAATAATTGCTAAGTATTACAGGCGTTATTTTAAAACGAATAACAGTAATAATTTCTGGTGATTTTAAAAGATCCGACTCAAAGATTATGGAAATACTCAAGATGTACATAACAGATCGGTATAATCAAATTTTCTTGTAAATATCTTATCATTTTTCAAAAGCTGATCTTGTTTTTTAGTGTTTTCTAGAAATAGCCTTACACATAGCCGCATTAGGTTGTCCATAATAACGATAAAAAAAAACATTGTTTTTATTTCTTCACTTCATTCGACATCTTCGTAACTACGTAAGAATATTTTTACATATAATTCCAAAACTGGTATTAAAATTTAATTTTTAATATTTTTTTGTGATTGATTTACATAAGTGATTTTAGGCATAAAGTGTTACTAATACACATGTGAAAATGTGGTGAACATTTTTTATTGCTAGCTGAAATTGTTGAGAGAACATGGTACCTAAATATATGCTGATATCCAATTTAATTGGCATTGGGCGTGAAAAGGTGCCACCTCCCCCTTTTTTAAGCTATACATTTTACTCTGAATTACAATTTGTGTTTTAACAATGAGTAGCCGATTTCCAAAACCTGTTATCTCCACTTCAGCTACAGAATCTAAACCTGTTATAAAACCATACATGATTACTCTTCCAAAACCAGTTATATAACTTTAGTACAGTATGACTGCCATTGTAAAACATTTCCAAAACCAGCCAACTATTTCTCTTTACCTAAAATACTTTTTCCCTATAGTATATTATAATAACGAACAATGGAAATTAGTGTTGGCTAGGTGAAAAAAGGAGTTGCTGTTAAGTCAGCGTGGCTTGAAGGTGTAAAAGACTTTTGGAACTGAACTTCGGTAAAAATTGGGACGCTAATTAATTATTGAAGTTTTATACAGAAGTATTCAGAAGACAAAACCCAGCTGAAGAGCAAGGGGCACTAGGTGAGGGGCAGGAAGAGCTGATAGACTTTGATTTGAATGAAGACGTAGAAGATTTTGCCTTTTAGATATAGAAAAGTTCATGAAATTTTTACGCTAATAGGATTTTAATAATATTTTCCTGTAATTTCAGATTTTTATTGCAAAACAGCTATTTTATTGAATCCTGTCTTTAACAGGTTATGGAAATGTAAATGGTTTTATCAGGGTTTGGAAATTGACTAGAGATAACATGACTTCCTATAAAATTCCAATACCAGTTTATTTGTTTTTCCATATCCAAAACCAACTATATCCAACAGTTAAATATTTGTTATAAAAAAACTAATAACCTGTGATTATCAAGCACTATATAAATCTAAAAACATGATTTTTTAATGATTTTAGAAGGAAAACATCATACGAATATCTTTATTAGTATATAATTTATCAGTTTTTGATGAATAATGGAAAGTTGTGAAAAAATCAAATAACAGGTTTTGGAAATTGGCTTCTAGTTTTTCATGTTATGTTATAAGACAAAATCATACTTACTGGGAGCCGTAAGCAAGCCATGTTTAATTGGGCCTGCTCCTGAGTCCAGTCCCATTATCAAATAGTCGTACTCCTGTGCTTTGTCAATAGTTTTTGAACTGGCCATCACTGCCTAAGGAAAAAATCTTTCAAATTCCAATCCAGAGGTAATATCATTAAGCATCACAATAGGTGATATAACACAGCCAACACAACCTTAGTGACCACTTGGGAAACGTTTACCGGTAGAAAAATATTTCTTAAGTCATATCCAACAGTATCGTCAAGTAACTTTTAGCTTAGCTACTATTGGTTTCATAAAGTCACTAAGAAGTAAGGTACAGAAGAAACAACTAGCATAGGCCTACCATACACGTTCAGTTTGGCCTCAAGGTGGCGATTACTTGAGGAGTATCGCCGGCCGGACGGCCGGGTGGGGAACCGTTAGGCCTAGCCTCAAGGTAGCTAGGCAGAACTGTACATGTATGTGGAATCCCCACAGTCCCAGACCCCAATTCTAGTTGTAAACTTCAGATCATCCAGTGTGCTCTCTGCATGATCAAAGTATCGCAATCTTGCTGTTAACGTTTTGTCAGGCTTCATGGATAGCCTCATAACAATGTCTTGCTTGGCAATAAAAAATTCAACTAATCTTTATAACTCCAGATAAGTTAGTTCTTCCATTCGTAAATGGTTCTTCCAAACTCTTGAAAACACCGTAGTTTGGCTGGTTTGGTTGGTAAATTAACACGATTATTTTCCTTTCAAGCGATGACTTTGCCCACGAGTTTCTCTTTACCTTTCCCCATTTGCTATAACATACACCATTACTGTCATTGCCACAATATCTTCAATAGTTGACATGTCGATCTTTCAAAGTACGCATTCGAACAAAGCTACCCCGCGACTCCTATATACGAGCCGGTTTGCAAATACGGTCCATGTGTGGGGTGAAGATGATATCGGTACGGAACGTGTATGGTAGGCGACCATTCGCTTTCATCTTAAGTATGCAGTAACCATAGTTGAGGCGAGCAAAGAAGAGCACAGGGGTAACTATGAGGAAATTCCTGTCGCACAGTTCACAGGGCATTCCTCAACCGTGAGCGTTGTAGTACATGAGGAGGAGAGGGGCGACATTAGACATTGCTGTAGATATCAGTACTATTGCTAGACACCCCTTAAGTGTACAATTGAATGTTACGCATTTGCCTTATTTCTCTGTTATACATTGAATTTAATTCACAAGGCCAGACTACCTGCTAGTTTTAGCAATACTTAGAGCATGTTTCATCAAATACAACAGTCCAGCAGAATTGACAATGAGCTTGTAGACAGCAATAATAATTAACTATGCAAACCTTAATATGAGCATACACGTTTTACACAATTAGCTTGAAGAAGAAAGAATTTAGACTCAGTGGAAGTGTCTACACATATCTAGATCTACAAATCATTATGAAATTAGCCACATGATTTAACTGACAGACCTCATTTATATCCAACACCATTAATGACGTAGCGGTTGGAATAGGACAACTATAAACACCACCGGCATTCCATAGATAACGGGAGAGGTTCAAGGACACATCAGTCATGACCACGCATCTACCATTGTCCTATATTGGCCAGTTGAGAATATTCGTTCAGTAATGTCTTTCCGTTTATCTTGTTTTATGTTTTCTGTACTTATTTGTGTATTTCACGACAACATATTCTTGAGTGACATGGCATTTGAAGAATCCTGATGATGAGATTTCGATCTCGAAATCGGTCGCCGTAGACGCCAATCAGATCACCGAGGGACAGGAAAACTAACCCACTCAATAGCACAAGTTAGTGATCCTGCGCCACTAAGCACTAATTTAAAACATATTCAGTTTAAAACATATTGTACACCTTAAGCTTCAAATGATTAAGTTACCCTTATGTCGTCAATGTCATGGACAACCAGATAAGGCAAAGGTCCTATCCAGAAACACACAGTATGTAAGCCTTGGGCCACAACTTTTCTTGATTCTTCAAGAATATAGTTTGTTAAATCTGCAAACAATCGCACTTAGTTTAGAGTGGGGATATAAAAGCAATAATTAGACTTAAATCAACTACTGACTTAAGAATTAGGTTATTGTTTTTGTGGACACATTGAAATTCATTCTTCCCTTTCTTTGCCTTCAACCTTGAATATTTTACCCAAATATTTAATCCTGAATATTCAACCTTTAGCAGTTCGGTAGTTAATTACTTAACGGAGTATACACACCGGTTTAATTAATGTAGTGTTACAATGCATGGCTTAATTTATTACGAGCTGTTGGTCCTTCCTACCTACGAGAATCGAGTAGTCAAAACTTATTTTAATTCAGAACTGCTAGTTTACACGCATAAATACGAATTCTGGCAGTTTTAATAGGGAAAATAATCTTTTAAACAAATGTCACGTAACCACTTATTCTTTCATCAATATATGCCTATAACATATAGATTTTAAATGCCATAATTTTGAAATAAAAAAACAATTGTGTCAATTTGAAATTTCTTTATGTGAGTTTGGTTGCTGATTAACACACACTAGTTTTGAGTACAGTAGTGATTTTCCAATTTAAACTGCCAGAATTTGTCTTTGTGCGTTTAAACTGACTGTCCGGAATTATATTCATTGTTGATTAACTACTCAATTCCTGTACATTGGTCGGGCCAACTGCTCGTTGAATTTTATTTATGTTGTGTATTTTTCAACCTATAGGCTAGTTTCAAACTACTTACACTCCAGTCCCCACCGTACTGCATGTAAATCTCCAATCAGAGGCCAAGCTCGTGATGTACATGGTAGTTTGGAAGCGACTCTCAGTAGATCTCTGTACCTCCATCGATACCAGCAATATAGGCTGACTACCAACACTAGGCTGGAGTACAGCACGCTGGATACAATGGTCAATACTTCCATACTGACCAGGGCTAAAACCAAAGTAAAAGACACCGAGATAAATAGTTATTTGTGTAACTAGTGGGCGAAGTGGTACTTTGCTGCACACGAGAGAAATGTTTGCGTGCAAGCCGCAGGTGAGGGTCGAAAGTTTCTCGAGTGCAGCAAAGGAACTTTGCACTCGTGTTACACATTATACAGGGCGAGTCTGGCTTGTCATTCAGGGATGAACTTTTCCCCACAAATTCATACTCAAGGAACAACATATGTTTTTACCATTTTTTAAATACAGGGTGTTGAGAAACGGGGGGTTATAAGTTCGAATCTCAGAGTTTTAAAATGTAAACATATGCCACGTTGTGCATAATGTTAAAGCTCTAGACTAGACAAACAATTTAGTGAAAACAGAACTCCTTTATCTTCATTCGTTTCAAAATGGCGGCCATTTGTATGAAAAATATTGATATTTACAGAATACCCTGTATCTTGGAAACCAGTAGACTTATTTTCGTTCTGTTTGAAAAATTCTTAATCCTCGTGAGTCCAGCTTTAATTTTTATATGTGAAATTTCAACCTTTTTAAAAACTTATTATTTTCGATGATTTTAGCGAATTTCCCTATAGGGAAGTAGCTATTACCGTAGGTCTCATGGTAAGACTTAGGCCCGGGACCGATTTACTTTTTCATTTTAATGTCCCCAGAGGCCAAAAACACCATTCGTTCAAATTTTTATATATGTATATATATATATATATGTATATATATATATAGATAGATTTATATATATATATATGTGTCCGTGAACACGATAACTTGAGTAATTTTTATCCGATTTTGATGAAATTTGGTTTGAAGGTGTAAGGCGGGATAAACTTGAATGAGTTCGCGATCCAGCATGATCGGACCATGGGAACAGGGTTTTATGGGGGGTTTTATGGGGTAAAAATTTGTTTTTCTCACTTTTTACCCTCAAAACACAAAATTTCCCAATTTTTCTCTAAACCTTCTTAAAGAGCTTAAAAAAACAAACAATTCAGTATATCAAAGGGTTTTTGTACGGTTATTGGTTACGGAGAAAACTAAAAAAATGGTAAATTTAAAATTCCCATGTTATTCTTATGGAGAATATTGTAAAATGTTGTAGTTTGCTTGTTTATGGATATATTTTGATCAAACTTGGCAAATTTATTTATTTTATAGTAAGCTATCAATATTTTACTAAAAACACACTACTTTATTAGTTTCCTTGTAGCAGCAAACCTAGGTACTCGTTAAACCTAATGTTATTTAAATAGATCAATTGAAAATCAATTCGGCCAAATGGAAATTCGCTTAGACGGCAGGTTTGCTGCGGCGGGGGTATTATTGTTTTATGTTGGTAGCCTTGTAAATGAAAAAATTTAAATAGCAACATGTGCCCAAGGACATATAATTTTTAAGATCTTGCAAAAACAAACAACTTTTATATTTAAACTCACCGTCTATCTTTGGTAGTTTTCTAGTAATAACACAAAATTCCTATTGCCCGTAAAAAACGCATGTTAAACAGGCAGTACTCTATTGAATAGTGTATCTGCATCCACTTATATCCAGTACTGCACGTTTAACGTGGGTTTTATTTGGGCAATTGGAGTTTTTGCTTAATTACTAGAAAACTACCAAAGATAGACGGTGGGTTTAAACTTAAAAGTAATTTGTTTTTGCAAAATGAGGCCATTTGACAAATGTTGCCGTTTAAAATTTGTCATTTACAAGGCTACCAACATAAAAAATATAATAGAAAAAAATTATTAGTTCTTTAATGTTGACGTGTCGCATATAACATTAAACCTGAACTCACGACGATTGAGAATTTTTCAAACAGAATGAAAATAAGTGGTTTCTAAGATACAGCGTATTCTGTAAATATTAATATTTTCCATACAAATGGCCGCCATTTTGAAATGAATGAAGGAGTTGTTTTCACTAAATTGTTTGTCTAGTCTAGAGCTTTAAAATTATGCAGAACGTGACATATTGTTTACGTTTGAAAACTCTGAGATTTGAACCCATCACCCCAGTTTCTCGAACACCCTGTATTTTTAAAATGGTAAACATGTGTTTATGTTGTTCCTTGGGTATGATTTTTGGGGAAAAGTTTTGTTTCATCTCTGTATGTCATGATGTTTGTCTGTAATCTGTTTAGGGCAGCTTAGAATATTCACCCTGTATTTTTCATACAGTTAATATAAAGCATATAAAATAATTAGTCTTTCAAACAGTTAACATTCAGTCAACGTTTTAGGTTAGAATAAATCCAAGCGTTGAACGAAATAAGCAACGACTGCACCAGCTGATCGTAGTCGTAGTATCTTTGATTTGCCAAACTATTTCCAAGCGTACACGGATTACGTGCATAACAAATGCACACTGTTTTGTGTTGTTTGGTTGGATAACTGATGTGCGGCAAAAATAAGCATGCGGCAAAAGTAAGTAAATGCAGCAATTAACAACTTTCTGTACTATAGAATCAGTGCAAGGAAGCCCATTTTGTCTGGTGACTGTAGGAAAACCACTTTGTCGTTTTTCGAAATCTCTGTCAATTATTGAAATGATTTTTAAATTCAGCATTCAGCATGTTATTCCATGCATGCGCTTTTGATTACAATTGGAAAATATTTTATAGTTTCATGATGGTACATGTAGTTTAGTGGGTTTATCTAGGCTTACAAAAAATAAATCCTACATAATGTACCAAATATTTTACCAATTACCTGTTTATAACGGGAAATAATAATTATTTAAATGAAATTAAGGTGTGCTATCTAAAATTAAGTCAACTTTATTAACTGGCTGGACCACTCCACCCGTCGTTTAAGTGGAGGATTTGCTATGAATTGTCAAAATCGTTCTCCTTTAAAACTAAAATAATCAATATCATGAAATTGACACTTGCTTTCTCCTATCTCGTTAATAAACAAATGAAGAACTTATTTTATTCCATATTCCATTATTCATTTATTACTAAATCACCATATAAATAACCTGACGATGCTTGCAATACATGATAAAGTGTTTAATATTTTTTTCAATTTAACATTTACGTTGCATATTGCTTTATTATGCCACGGCCAGGCCAGTAAAATCAAACATGTTTGAGTTTTCTGGCCGCCACACCAGCCGCCACTACAAATACTTGCCGCTGGAAAGGAAAGTACCTTTATACACAAAGAAAGTATGCAGTAAGGGCAAATGGCAAGTACTTGCGGCCAGCTACTTGCCGTCTCTACTGTCCCCGTCTATAAGCTGCTTAATGCAGATTTATGAATAATCCTAATAGAAATTGGATAAATTTACGCTGTTAGAACCAAATAAATATAAAACTATAGGCTACGGGCATGAAGATACAAAAATATTTAGTATTGCCGATTTGCTTGAGCCTTATGCTGGTTACGGTTCACTCAATAAGTCATAACACATTAACCTTACTGTATTCCAACAAATATATTGACAAAATATTAGTCATATAAATTTATATAGATTTTTCATAGAATAAACCTACATTCCTACATTCCCTCTAGCCTAACGAGCGTTAACCGCACATCTAAACATGATTCAGATTTTTCAATAGACTAAGAAAGTTTACTTTAGTAGTAAAATTCGCTACCACATACCTTCCTCACAGTTGTAGAGAGAAGCTACGAAGCTTCATCTACCGAGATGGCAAGACGAGTGGAACAAGGAAAAGTCAATGTGCCTAATTTCATATTTGAATTTCAAACACACTTGATAACTTCACGATTAACAACCAATGCTTTGGCCTGTTTAATTATTCAAAATGCCTTAGCTACATTGTATTCTGCAAGGTGGTATTAAGGGACTAAAACCTGGGATAGGTGATTAAGCTCGATTAAGCGGTCATAAAAATGCAAACACAGGCTTGTTTAGGCCTACACACTTGTTAATTGATCGAACAACTCCGATTTTTAAGTCTACTGAATAAATGTGCCTCTGAGTGCAATGTTGATTCAGAAGATACGTAATAGCATTGACTATTGGATACAGAAGAAGACATCCCATCTATATGGATCAGCTGTCGCC